TAATAAGGTAAAAGTTCAGTCAATTGTGTGGATGCATATTTAGTTGCAATATGCAACTAAACGATATAACGATAATTGATCAGGATGCGCAATTATCCGATGAAGTCAACGTATAATATCATCGATAGGAAGTTACAGTTACGAATTATCGAAGCACCTTGCGAATATTATTCATCGTCACAGACCTGCTCAGGTTTTATCACACGTGAAGGATTCTTTTCATTTCGTTAATTTGGTAAAAGATTTTCAATTTCAATCAAATCCAAGAATGTACAGCTTTGATATTGAGTCCCTGTACACTCAAGTTCCTGTTTTCGAAGCAATTGATTGCGCTCTTAATTTAATTTTTAAAGATAAAAAATGGTAGCCAACTTGTCCTTATAGTCGGGAGCAGATGAAAAATCTTTTGAAGTTTGCTATTTGCGATGCTCCATTTCGTTTTTATGATGAAATTTTCATTCAGCGTGAAGAAGTGGCTATGGGTGATGTACTTGGACCTATACTTGCTGAACTGTTCATGCAGAAGGAAGACGAAAAGATTCATAATTGGACTGGTATTAAACCTGTTCTGTACAAGCGTTATGTGGATGATATTTTTTGTGTTTTTAATGAAGATCAGGATGTGGATATGTTTTTCAACTACCTCAACACACAATTACATTCAAATTTAAGATTTACAGTGAAAAATGAGAGAAATGATCAGTTAAATTATTTAGATGTCTTAGTTATTCGAAAAATTAGTGAAAAGAAATATGAAACTACGATTTACAGGAAGCCAATGGACACTGGTTTATACATGTTGTACGAGTCTAATCAGTGCAGGATATATAAACTTGGTTTGATTAGGACATTGGCAATCAGAATATTACGGATTTGTTCTAGTAATGAATTTGTCAAGATTGAATTGAAAAAACTAAGACAGTTAATGATCATTAACGGTTATCCGAATAATATTATAAGAAGGGGTATCAGAGAAGCTCAAATCATTGTACATCGCTTGATGACGAATCAACTACGGCCGAATCCTTCAGTTAAGATGAAGTCTGTGTTTTTCGCGTTACCTTATTATGGTCGAGAAACATTGATACTTGGTCAAAGAATCAAGAAATTAGCTCGTCAGCTTATGGTAACTGTTGATATGAAAATAGCGTATAGGAAAACACTCACTCTCCAAAATGTTTTCCTATCTTTGCAAAAAGGTTTAGATGTAACGGAAAAAGAGAAAAATCTTGTTTATTCCACACCTTGTATGGACTGTGATTACAAATATTACGGACATACTGCACGGGATTGGTCCATAAGAATCAATGAACATCGTGATAAAGTTAGACTTCATTCGTCTGACTCGAAAATTGTTCAACATGTTGAGCAGTTAGGACATACGATGGATTTTAAGAATGCAAAAGTTGAAGCCTTTGAAACTAGCTATCGTAAGAGAGTAATTAAAGAGGCATTGTTTTCTCAAATTTCGAAAGGAAAATTTATGAACAAAGTTAATCATGATTTGAATGTGTTTGGATAGTTGTTCTTCGATCACATTATTTAGTTGTTAGGTTCTGGATATTTTGTACATGTGTTCTTTTGCCTCAGTTTATTCTTCCTTTGTGAGAATAAAGAGATTTCTCGGACATACGACGGACTGTTAACTTATGTACTATCTTAAGCAATTCAATTTGTCATTTTCTTTCTGTTCTTCTTCAAGTTTTTGTTGATATGTACACTTTTTCTTTTTTGTCATTCACTCCTGATGATGACCCTTGAATAAAGGTCGAAAGCTCGAGTAGTGCTTTAAGTGATAACTTGAACATGCATTTTATTGCAGTGCTATATTTCTTACTTAAATTTAAATTGTTATTGATCCAGATTGAAAAAAACGAACTAGTCCATACTGACGTATGGACATACAACGTATCACTATGCCGTGTATCAATTTCTTACGTTATCTTAATTAATCATATTAATATTGATTAGTAGACAGTATATACAAGAAGAATATATATAGAAAAAACTAATCACCAACCTAATTAAAGAAAAAATATACAAGAAGAAACCAACTTTACGGCAAAAAGGCTGTAAAAAAAGAACCTTTTTCGGACGACCTTTTCTCTTACCCATTGCACAGTGAGCATTTTTCTATAGAGCGAGTGGACATATGCTATAAGTGGTAAGCAAGTCTATAAACACTTTTTTTTATAGGTTTTCAAATACGCTCTTTCCAATGATGAGATTTTCAGGACACAAAAGTAATTTCCTATGAGTTTTCTAAAGATCTAGTCTCCAGAAAACCAACAAGAAATTGTTTTGCATTTCGAAAACTTGGAAAGAGCGTATTTGAAAACCTATAAAAAATAGTGTTTATAGACTTTCGCACTATTGCTAAAACAAATATCCAGTTTTCAGGCAGAGTGTGCTATGGGGAGGTTTTCAGCTCTATAATTTAGTTTGATAGAAATTTTTCTGCAGAACAATTAAGAAGCTATACATCATTCGATGCAGTTTTTTGCGCTAATTCCGAATATGTCACTTTTAATGAACAAAAAGATTTCTGAACCGAGAAAAATGGAAAATACCTTCAAAAACTAGTGGGTTTTGGAAAACCTACAACTCAGGACAGGAGACCTCTCACTACCCTTCGTTAACTGTGTGCACGCGTCCTATATACCTCAACATTTGCTGAAAGGTTCATCTAAATTGGAGTTTCGCTTTTCTTCGCGCATGTACTTTACTGAATGCACCTCTTTGGAAACGCGCTAATAAAATGTACAATAACTCTTTTTCATCTTGGAAACTCCTAAACTAGAAATTCTGTTTATCAATCGATAGAGGACTTGAGAAAGATTAAGAATATATGTTTGTTTGTTTGATCGCTTACCTTACTTTTGCGTTTAACTCAGTTTTCCGACAGTGTCTCTTCTTTTAGCGTAATTTTTCTCTATGGTTCTCCCAACATAAGTATACCCTAAGAAAAAAATACTTTCGTCATCGAATAGAGCGTGGTCCAAAGTATATAAATCACCATTTGAATCACCAAAAATCGCATTCTCGATTTTTCAACAAAAGTCCGGCTGGATGCACACTGCATCGGTTCACAACGCGTTTTGCCCGAGACTTGGTACATGTTAAATAAAATGCTTAATCCAACTGAATGCTTACAGGTATATTGCTTGAGGCCAATTTGACACGTACACGATATAAGCGGTGACACTAATGAACATGATGTCTGCCATGCCACAGAATCGTCAAATGATGCCCATTGAGCAGATCGATACAAATCCAACATATACCTGCAAACATTCGGTTGGATTAGGCATTTTTCTTTAATTGGTTTGGTGATTACTTTTTTCTATACATATTCTTCTTGTATGTACTGTCCACTAATTAATTTGCCATTAAAGTGCTGTATATTTTTCTTGTATATATTTTCTTTGGTGATCAAAAGTCTTATTTTTTGATGATCAAAAAACTTAATACTCTTACGAAGATAGAGATGCTGATGAAACAATCACTTACAAACTAACTGCAGATCAACTAAAATTAGCTAATAAATTGAGAAAATATAGTGACAGTTTCAGACAGAGTGCTCTCAAGTCCATCCCAAATTACAAGCGTGAGATATCATTCGAATATTGAAGAACTTATCGAAAGATAAATCTATCCATATTTCACGTGCAGATAAGGGTCGTCCGGTGGTTATCTTAGATAAGGATAATTACATTCAAAAAATGGAATCTGTTCACAACGATAGGAGTACTTTTTTCAATTATTAGACGTTGATCCCACAATTGAGCAGGAAGGCAGACTCCAATAAAAGTTACTGAAATTGAAAGACTTGGGTTTTATAACAGGTGATGATTATTCCTACTCTCGACCTGTTGGATCACAAGCAGGAATGACTTATGGGTTGCCTAAGGTCCATAAAACCGGACTACCTGTTCGTTCGATTATTTCTGCATGCAATAAGAAAAGAATTACATGATATTCTTATTACTCGAAATTCTAAAGATGCACCAGTTAAAAAGATTTACAATAAATGTCATCGTTAAATTAAAGAAACGTTAGTCGATTCGGGTCCATTTTCTACTACTGTTTACCGGAAACCGACCTCTACTGGTTTACTGTTGAAATGGACTTCTTTTGTTCCTTATTCTTTCAAAGTATCAGCCATCAGCTCAATGGTATACAGAGCAATTAAAATTTGCTCATCCTACATTCTAATTGATACAGAATTTGAGTTCATCCTGGAGTTATCTGTGAAAAAATGGGTATCTGTATCTGCATTAGACAAAGTACAGAATCTAGCACGTAGAATCATACTACAAGGCTATGTATCCACTTCTGCTATCTTTTCGAGTCAGTTGAATTTACCACCATTATCCTCCTGGAGAAAATTTTCACGTTTAGTTTATTTCTATAAACTTTACCATGGGTACAGTGCTCTTTCTCATAGCAGTTTTATCAGTCGTCCATCCACCCGTCAAACTGAGTGAAACTCACATAACAAACGGGTCCAGTGTCTGAACTACACCGTAATATCTGCTTCCGGTTCTTTTGTACTAAATACTATAGAGAACTGGAACAAATTGCCTTGTACTGTTCTTCATCAGAATACGCTAAGAGTACTAAAACAACTGTATTAAACATTGTGTGTGTGTGTGTGTGTGTTCAAATTCATTCATTCATAATTGACAGAATGAGAAAAAGCTGATATGAACAGAATGGAACAAATTTTCGTTTTCTATCATTAGTTGCACAATCTAACTCATATAAAGCTCAATTACATGTTTTTGTCTAAAGAACGAATTTTATCCTTTACTCTAAATGTTGATCTACTCTTCTAACTAAGGAAAACATCATTCATTATGAGTTTAATCTCTCAACTTAACGAGTTAAATGGAAATGAATTAGAGAATGTCCATTTCTACTTTTTGTCTCATCTGAAAGAGAAAATGTTTGACATCGTTGCGAGCTATTTTTCAGAAATAGGTACGTCCAGCTTTTGAGATACAGGATCATCAAAGTCATTGCTTGGCTTCATCAAAAGAGCAATTTTTATTTTTTATTGAGATCAGTTTTAAATGGACTTTTTTCCACTGTCATGACTTTGCACCTTTCCCTTTGGGTCACGCGAGTCGGAGGTGATGTATGATCAAGTTTTGTTTTCGCTCTAATCGTGATTAATGCTGTCCTGTGAAATATGTATCATATTGAAAAATTTGGTGATCAAAAAATACCCTGTTTATCACGTGAAATTTTTTGAAGAACTAAATTATCAACAGTGTCATTTCATATCGAGATTAATGTGAATACAAGAGTAATAGTTAACGGTTTATGTTCTTGTTCATTGTCATCGTTTCTTTCCACTTGGTTTGAATAAGGAACTTGGCGGTATTGGTATATTGTTGTAATTAGCCGACATACCCAAACCTACCTGATTATTTGTTAAATCATAAGAAGAATAAAATCTTGTTAAAAATGAATCACCTAATATCCAAAATAATTTTCCAAGACTATCTGTCATGTCTGATGGTTGAAACACCGAATAACAGTTGTAAGTAGTGCTAGATATTCGATAGATAATTAAATATTGTAACGGCATTAAGGAGAATGCAACACCATTGACGGTAAACGTGACATTTGGAAATGAGGATAATGCACGATTTTTACAACTAACCTGATACTAAATTGAGAGCAAAAAACAAGGATAAAATTATCTCGCTACAAAAGCGGTCCTGCCTGAAAAAAAGCGGTTCGAATTTTGAGGTATTTCTTAAATTTTCTTAGCATGTCATCCAAACCTGTTACACAAACTGTTCTTTATCTACTTACAAAAAGTTTTGAATGCTTAAAAGGCTGAAGAATTGCAAGAGCTTGTCAATCAAAAATGCATTCCGGTGAACAGAATATAGGAAAAAAAGTCGATTTTTCATTTTATCACCTAAAAATACGAGTTTTCTCCATTAAAGCAATCGAAAACAAATATTTCTTATCGAACTAAGTAGACTGAAATACAACTAGCGAGAAACCGGTAAAAAAAAGAGAGGCTTTTTCAATTATCTCAGTTTTCAAATAGAAAAATGTCCTTTTCTGGATCAACTCAACAAACAGAATTACTTACTAATCCATATTGTGAATCATATGTAACACCACCAATTAAACTATGTAACGAATTGACTTGTGTTTTTGGACCAACAATTAATGTTGTACCCGTATCAGCAATAACATAACACCCTGAGGAACAAATTTTTGTAGAGCCAACAGAAATACTTGTCATCGCAAATTCCCAATAACCTTTAGGTTGAACACTGACATACGTCATGGAACCTATATATTTTGTATCATCAAGACCACCTAAAATTAATTCACCACCGTTACTAAAAATACACAAACATCATTTAGTTATTTGAACAGACGAGAGGGACGTGAGAACATACCTATCCAAATAGACACTAAATATAGCTTGTGGTATTAAATTTTGTGCATACATGTTGTAGAAGAGAGGTTGTTGACCACCAGAAGCTATGGAGGCATATGCTAAACCAAGTATACCATCATTTTGTGCGCCTCCCATTTGGTAGGCTGAGGATACCACACCAAATACTTGATTTTTGACGGTTAATCCAGCAACCTAGAGAAATATAAGATTGAACTCATCTGTCAGAATAACTCAAGAATAGACATACCGTGCATGAATCACTAACAAAAGCACCTTTAACCCATGAACCGTCACCGTAATAAATGCTAAATGCTTTGCCGTTCGCTTTATATGTACTTGACTTTGATGGATCATAATAATGTGTCCCACCTAAAATCTCAATATTTTTATTTTTCGAGTGAGGAACGTCAGCAAAATACTTACCACAGTTTGTTTTACACGTTTTACCAGGTATCCATAAATTCGCTGAACCAGTATCAAAATCAATAACAAATGTTTGTGCTGGTGTACCACAAGTTATCACACCAGTCCAATAGCTCTATAAAACAGAATAAAGCAGCACATTATTTCTTAAATTTTCCTTCATTGTATGATATAAACTTTAAAAATTCAAAGGTTTTGCAAAATAAAACATCGGACTTCTTCCTTCTTAATTTTTATTTCATCCAAAAGCACATACTGAAATACTTTAAGGCTTTAAAGGTTTTCCAGGCAACCAACAATCTCCAAAACCTGAAAAAGCCTTCAGGATTTTCTAAAAATCCTTAATTTGATAAAAAAACTAAGACCTAATTCAAAAATTGACGCCGGTGAGACGATGTAGTTTCTTTTCCTCTTTTAAACTAAAAAAGAATATACTCTCTATGATAATCTTGGAAAATATTTCAGGTGTAACTCTTATATAGAGAAAACGCTGTATTAAACGCCGTATGAAATACTCAATTTTAGAACTTCTAGGAAAATGCTTATAACTTTTTGATGCAAAGTCATAGAGGATTGTGCGAGGTCTTATTTTGATCAGAAACGTTTGCTCTACAATTCTGTGTGTTTAGAAAAATTGTGGTTGCATTAGTATCCAGGAAAAAGCTATTATTTGAAGATCCGGTTTTCATTTTTCTTAAAGATCGAAATCATTTGGAGCCGCGCTAAGAGGTACAAAATTGCTTTATAGTTTCTAAATCGTTTGAAATCTACAGTAACAAGTTTCCACAAGGAGCATAGAACATTTTCGAGCTAAAAAGAGGGGTTTTCCGAATCTGAACCGTTTATTTGAAAATAATACCGTCGAGTAATTGTCAAAGTGGAATTATTACAATTGCAACATTTTTATGCAGTTCAAAGACTTTTTTCTGCAGAAAACCATCAGCTATTTTCTCTTAATTTCAGCTTTTTTTTCTTCTGAAAGTCGGTTTCGACTAAGGAAAAAAAGAATGCGATTCCATATCAGCAATCCATTCTGCTGGAATGCATGTTTCTCTGAAAGTTGCTGAAGATTCACAAATAAAGATCCAAAGAAAAAACTTTTCCATTTTCCTTCGAAGATGTAAACTTTACGTCCAGTGGGCCAGTCACCATTGTAAAAATACGCTCTCATTCTATAAATTCGAACTTACATCGAAAACGTCTAAGAGACTTTCTGTCGCTGATGATAATGCTTTGCCATTTATTTTTGCATGTGAACATTTTCGATCAATATTTGTACCATTACACTGTCGTCTTGTTTTATTGGCTCTGATTCTAAAGGATGACAAAAAAAGGCCTGATGTGAAATGTCTGATGTCAGACTCAGAATACAAATTCTAACCGTGGCAAAGATGTCGAATCAACAACAACGGTCAGAGCAACGACAACTACGTTGAGAAGGAAAAGTAAGTTTGACTCCATCAGTTGAAGGAAAAAAGAAGAATGAATAAAATAGAATAAGAACGAAGAAATCACTAAATTATTAACTTCGTGAAATGAGTAATAATGTACTTACTCTGCCCTCTTTAACCTTATGTAAAGAATTTACTACACTTCTTATTAAACAAAAATATAGGTTATCATTGGAGGATGGGTGGATGTTGTTTGCTCAGCATTTTTAAAGCATTAGTCACTGGTTTTGACGAGGCGGTATCTAAAATTATATAAACAAATGTTACAACTGATATTGACTTAGCTGTTATTGTTATATTAGCAGTTAGTGTTCGATTCTTTCCATTTTCACTAACAAAATGCGAATGGAATCTGTTTCTGATTCTCACCTTCGTCCTGCACGTATACTTTTCTTGAAATATCGAAGTTCTTTTTTCTGCTTTTTCAAAAAGCCGAGACCAGTTTGAATAGTATAAATATACAAAAGATGCATCTATGATGAGAGCTAGCTTGAATTATCGGGCTAGTTGTTTGATGATGCTTGTTACTCCTGGTAAATCCATCAACATTGAAATTGGTGTGACGCTCTACATCTCTCAAGTTACCTTCACGGAAATTGTTTGTCTTTCATCGGAAACGTTTAGAAACATTTGTCATGAAGATTCATATTCTAAGCAACCGCCTTTGTTTGTTTCGTTAAGTACTCGGACAAATATGCATTATGTTTCAGACTGTAGTTCCTGCCATTTATTTGCATCATGCTTATATTGTGATTGTTCAATCTGAACTAAAACTGTTTTATTGATTTATTAGCTCAGAAATCAATTTGACAGAAACTTTTTTAAATATTAAGTTTTTATCTTCAAAAAATAGGCTTTTTAATCATCCAACATTCTCAACGGCGTTGATACCAATTTACTAACGAAAAAAAATTGTAAACCCCGCATTTTACCCAATCTAAGCGAATTTTATTGAAAACAACAAATCGCGCTAACTATACTTTTGTTTAAGAAGTCATTAAGTGCCTACTTATCTCAATAAAACCATGAGTCAGAGTATGTGTATTTGATTAGAAAATCTAATGTCGGTAACTGAACAAAAATTTTGCTGGTATATGAGTTAAGAATGATGCTTTTCTCAATAACTATCGATGAGTAAGCAGTTATTTAAATTGTTGCATAGAAGCAGTAAAAGTACATGAAAAGAAAAGGAAAGAGGTACATCACTTTGTTAAAATCACATTTGAAAACATGAGTCAGAGCATTTGCATTTGATTAGAACATCTAATGCCCGGAACTAAAAGTACAATTTTGTTGCTATATAACTTATTTCTCTATCGAACAAGAAGAATTTTATCAAACGATTCTGTTAACCTTGAAAAAAGAAAAAATGCTTGATAGGAACGATTGTTTTACTCAATAACTATCGATGCGTAAACAATAATTTAAAACCGTTACATAGTTTCTGTTTTTCTGTTTTTCTTCTTTCTTTACTTGAAAGAGTGATTGTACCAAAGTCATGTACCTCGCTCTCTATCTCACATTAGGGGTTCTAATCAAATACAAATGCTCTGACTCATGTTTTCTAATGTGATTCTAACAACGTCATATACCTCTTTTATTTTCTTTGTGTAATTTTACTTTTACTTCTTCATGAGAAAAACAGAAACTATGTAACGGTTTTAAATAACTGCTTAGTTATCAATAGTTATTGAGTAAAGCCATCGTTCATTCATTTAAAACTGTTACATAGTTTCTCTTTTTCTCATGAAGAAGTAAAAGTAAAACTACATAAAGAAAAGAAAAGAGGTACATGACGTTGTTAGAATCACATTAGAAAACATGAGTCAGAGCATTTGTATTTGATTAGAACACTTAATGTCCGGAACTAAAAGTACAATTTTGTTGCTATATGACTTATTTCTCTAACGAACAAGAAGAATTTTATCAAACGATTCTGTTAACCTTGAAAAAGGAAAAAATGCTTGATAAGAACGATTATTTTACCCAATAACTATCGATGCGTAAACAGTAATTTAAAACTGTTATATAGTTTCTGTTTTTCTGTTTTTCTTCTTTCTTTACTTGAAAGAGTGATTGTACCAA